ACAAATGGGCTGTACCAAAAAACGAATTAATATTTTTTGGTGTAAATGGGTAACCCTCGAATTTTTATTAGTTACTCTAAGTTGACCTCAAATCTGATAGTTATAAATAATAGTTATTGTTTCTTTTCAATTTCACTTTTCCGTCTAAAATTTGCGAAAAACTGAGAAATAATATGTTGTGTTTATGGTAAATCCATAGGCGGATATTTGATTGCATTTTAGGGAGACTTAAATCTTTCTTTGCAAAACAAGCTGTGAGGGCTTTTCCCCCACCTCTCTCCAACAACAATATTCATTTCAATATTCATTTACTACTAAATTACCATATAATAAAGAAAACTACTAAACGCAATGCATTACTGACAACGCAACACAAAAGGGCAATTGGCAATCGCACAGCCGAACTCAAGGTATCCACGAAGACCAATATTAGGAATCAACAATGTATTATTGATGCTCATCAAAAAAAAAAAAAAATTGTAAGTTTAATGTAATGATAATATATAATAAATATTAAATGTTTATGTAATTAATAAGTTATTAAAATATTATTTTTCAGAGGTACCTATTAATATGTATATACGTATAGTTATTTAATTGTTATCATTATAATATAATTATTTACTTATTATACTTAATTCAGTAAAAATAACTTAAATTATAGAATTATTAATTTGCTTATACAAATAATATTCATGCGGAAAATTGTGTCAAAAAAAAAAAAAAAATTCATAATATATTATTATTATTTATTATAAACAGGACTTATTCCAAAAAGATACCACGCGACTACCGTAATCGTCGTTTAATAAAATTATGGGCGGTGACTGGTGAGTACTTAGTTGTAAGGAGCGGTGAGTGAAATAATTTTATATGCGGTCTAATACTACTAATGATCATTTACGACTTTAAACAACAAAGCTGATTGCCGAATGTATAAAAAGTTGCCTATAAAATGTTCCTTAGAATACAGTAGTTTGGAGACTCCTTTATAATGTTTGTCAAAGTCTGATTATCGGAAATTTCTATTTTTGCCATTGCAGTAATGCGATAGCAATCGGTAGTGAACGAAAAAAAAACGTCTCCGGTAAAAATTTCCCGTTAATAAATTAAATAAAAACATAATTGAAATGAATTATTATGACTAATTATTCAAGTTATTAGTAATTATTACTTTCTTACAAATTTTTCTCATTATAGGCCTAATAGTTTATAAAAAATAAAGTTACGATGGTATTCAATTACGTTCAATTATGAAATAAATATTATATAAATAATATTTTTACTTTATCTAATAGTTAACTGTGGGTAAATACGAAAAAACCATTACTTATCTACATAAACGATATCTAACGATTATAAAATAAAATAACTAAACGTTTATCGATCGATGAAATTGAAGATATTGATATGTTTACTATTTTTACTGTTTTTACGTTATTAGTCTGTGATTGATCATTGTAATATAATATACATGTAATTTATTGTTAGTTGTTACTTGTAATTCGTATTATGCTCCGTGATAAAAAATGGAAATATTAAAATCGAATGCAAATAACGAAAAAGTTGCTTTAAAAGGTTATGATATGTATACTAAACACAAGGAATGTAAGCAGTTTATTTGGTGAAATACATGAAAAATAGTTCATCTAAAGGTTCAGTTATATTAAAATCAATATTAAACAAAAAAAAAGTTTTAAGTGTTCATCACGAATCACGATCATAAATCATAACACTTATAACTATAACAAATGTAAAACGATACTGTTAATAAATTTGTTTTTCCGGCAATCCAATCCGTCGCTGCGGTCGCCGATGATGAGTACAATAATAATAATTATTATATTGACATTTCAGGAGAAAAAAATATTTTGTCAAGTTCCAATATTTTGGCATTGTTGTTGCAAAATTGATACCTATTTAATACTTTGAAAAATATTCAATAATTTAAGGGGGCTAAGCCTCCCACCCAATCACGGCTTATTATTAAACCAATAGCCATTCATCATCATATTGTTGTATTATTAACAAAATAAAAATTATTATTTTGTGATTCCCGAGTATACTTGATATTTATAATTAGAACTTCCGGCGCTGCGCGTCATGGTTATAAATTATAATAAACATATATTGGTACAAGAGTAGTAGGGCGTTATTCGAATGAAATTTTATCTATATGATTATTTAGATAACATCTTATTCGAATAAATTATTTTTCAAATGATTTTTTTACAATTATTCGAATAATTTTAAAACATTATTATTTGAATAATTTTTTATTCGACTAAATTTCAAAGAAACTTTTTTGAATAATTTTCGGTTATTTTATTTGAATAAACATGGTTGATAATTTAAAAAAAAACACATATTAAAAACAATAACTGGCATTATATTTTAAGTTACATGATTGTAAATCGTATTTTATTCGGAATAAATCCAAAAATATTATAAATAAAGCAAATATATACCTATCAATAGAAGAAAATAAAGGATTAGTTATGTTTTTTTTTTTATCATATTTTAATTATAATAATAATTTAACAATATGAATAATATTTCGTAATATTTACAACAATAACAAATAACATTAAACTAATAAATAATAATAATGAAAAAAAAAAATGATTCGATTAAAAACTTGTTTACTCAAATAAAATAACCGAAATTATTCGAATACATATTTATTTGAATAATTATCTAGATAAAATTTTGTAAAACTGTACTAAAGTAGTAGAGGTGATTCTCTCACACTAGTAATCGTTTACACTACTACACACAAAGTCGTTCGACGCCGAAACAATATGTGTATTAGGTTGCCAATAATTTGCTCCTTAATTAATAGCCAGCACTGGTGACTGGTAATATTACCTGTATGATACTATTATGTACTAGAGGGTTGAAGTATAGCATATTTTAAGTACTAATATTTAGGTAGCTCATATTACACGTGTCATAATTTGTGTAGTAAATTAACAAGTTTAGATGATTAATGCTCATAAAACTTTAAAAATAATAATAAATAAAAAAAAATACAATAATTTTTAATATTACATTCAGTTTGGTTTTATTTTCTATATTAACTCTATTTACGATCACAAAATTGTAAATCTGTACGACTGCGATATGTTATTGATATTTAATAACTTTTATTCATACAAACTTATAGACAATTATATCATAAATACATACTGCACAAATATCTATTTTACATTTTATTAGATATTTTGATGATCTTAAATCTTTTTTAGTTCAATAATTGTTATATTTTGTATCAATATTTTTTAGTGCACAACAAATATGTTATAGTAATTTTATACTCATAATATGATTGAATTAACTAAAACATTTAAAATTATACTATCAAGTTTGATAAAAAGTTTCTCTGTTCTTTAAATAAGAATGGAAAACCTTATTGTCAAATTTATGAGCAACCAAAAAAATACAAACTGTTTTTTATTTGTTGATTTCTGTTGTTTCCAATCTATATAAATATTAACTAGGTAATAAATGAAATCTTTTAATACAACGTTTAAAATTTTTAAATTCTAAATTACAATTTTTCAAGTTAACAACTGAACAATATTTTGATCAATAAAATAGTGATAATTATATTTGTTTATAAGTACCTACCTGATACTGGTTATGAATAATTAAAATGTAGCGTTAATTTAGTACATATATATTTTTTTAGCTTTAGAAGCCATTCAGACTTTTAGCTAGCAAAGTTAAGTTAAATTTCTTTTTTTGTGTTAAAACTTATAAGTGTTTGTAGAAATACACTAATGTTTTTACATTTTATGCCTATCTATAGTTATTGGCTTCTGATAATTGAATAATAATTAGCAACGCCATTATATTTAATTGTACTCGTAATAATTATATGGAAATATAAAATAGATTTTAAAATAACTAATTCAAGAATAATATAATTAAATCATTCTTTTTCGTTTTATGTAGAGGTATTAGGTATAGGTAGTAAGAAATAACATTTATTTTTATTTTATTAATTTTTACAAAGCTTTAAAAATTACAATATTCAATATTTCAGAATTAGGAATGCTTATTATTTGAGAACAAATTTTATTTTAGTATTAAAGTAAAAATGTTTAAATAAATATTAGTTTATTATTTAAAAAATAAAAAAAAAAAAAATACTACATATACAACTTGACTTGAAAATAATGTGATAGGAAAACGAAAGCGTAAATTCTACTGATGAATATAAATTTGTACTTAGATATAAAATACCAAATCCTTATCGATTAATTCAAAAGATATACACACCTTATTGTATCATGTGACATCGTAAAATTCTAAAATGAACTCTCGAATTCTACAATATTACAAAACATGAGTATGCATATATTTTGTAAAATTTTTAAAATAAATTGACGACTTCATTACTATGGCGTCTAGGTGCTCAAGTGACGTAACAATTGTCTGATTTTAATGACCGGAATAAAAATCATAAATTATTAATTACTCGATAAAAGTTCATCAAAAGATAATAAAATGGATTACTAAATTATAAATAAATCTCCAAATAAAATACGACAAAATGAAGATATAATAATTGGTGTTTAAAACAGGTTTTTGTAGTGTAATATAATATGACAACCTTCTAGATATCATTATTTGACAATTATTTCTTTTTGTAAAAATTATAAATACCTAATATGTATAAATTTTTAAACCAATTCAAATTGTTCGCGTGATTAAAAAAATTCTCGTATTTACGTGATTTTGATTTCCATACGTATGTTCGCGTGTTTTAGCATTTATTAATTCAGGTATATTTATTATACGTGTTTTATTTTGTTATATTCATCTGTTCACGATATCCGTGGGCGTATACAATACACATAATATATATATGTTTGTATTCACTTGAAAAAAGCAAGACCCCTCCTATCCAAACAAACGAGCACGAAATCCATTGGTGGATATACATAATGCGTTTGTATGGCAAATCAGTGTGGCAGACGGCAGTGCGTTTGTATCTCGTGTGGCAAATCAGTGCGGCAGACGGCAGTGCGTTTGTATCTCGTATGGCAAATCAGTGTGGCAGACGGCAGTGCGTTTGTATCTCGTATGGCAAATCAGTTTAGCAACACGTTTGTATCTTGTATGAGTTGTATGGCAATCGGCAAATCAGTATAGCCACCACTCTTCGGCGTGAATGGATGCTTTAAATCTTCGTGTCACCGTTCACGGTTCTACAATCTACGGAAATTTAGTGCGTGTTATCTGGCGAGTAGAATATTTTTCGGAGTATTTCGATTCATAATGAATCGAAATACTCCGAAAAAATCACCGCTTCATAACATAAAATTAAAAATGTATATGTCGTTCAAAAAAAGTAAAAATCTTAAAAAGCTTATATAACTATATAATATTTAAAAAAATATTAATTAATGAGTGTTTGATAGAAGAATTATCTTGTATATTATAGTAATTATTTGAAAGTCACATGGCGAATACTCAATACTATATTATGTTATATTATTTTTATTAACTGTGGTAATAAACATTTAACGATAAGTACAGAACATCAATAAAGATAAGCGTGATATTATGGGAATTTTCCAATATTATACTGTTATATACCTACCTAATTAATAATACGTTTTATCAAAAACATTCGTTGAAATTATCGCTTCCAAGCGTACGACACAACTCATAAGTGAAGCAATTTCCGTTGTATGTTGAATTAGTAGACAAATCGTAATTAATACGTTATATTATATCATTATAACTGTATCTAATCAAGATAATTTATCATTTTTTTTTTCTTAGCTTTTTTTATTAATACTTTATAATTTTTAATACTCTTTTTAGTTATTTTATTATCTAAAACATTATTTGTTTCATTAGAAACTCATATGGCTATATTATATAATATTAATAAATAAATCATATCAGTAAAATACATATTTTGAGTTTTTTAGCACATATATATGTACATATTCTGGTTTCATAAATCTGAACCCTACTAATAAGTTTCGAGCATATCTCGCTATTAAAATACAATGGAGTGACATTTTAAACTATTTTATAGGTAAAAATTTGTATAATATTAACTCCATACACACAAAAGTCTACGGTATTTCAATATTTAACAAACATATTTATAATTTTCAATTTGATAGAAAATAGTAGTACACCGAACATAATAAATAAGTGTAAATTTTTAACGGAACGTGTTACTAAGAAAAGTGTAAAATAATACAATTTAAACGTTGTGTGTTTTCCTCTAACTTAAAAAAGCACCATAGTTTTGTTTAATAATACCTCCTAATGTATAATAAGCAACTTAAAAAACAATATGATAAAATTGTTCATACATTATCATATTTTATTTTTGAATAGTTCATTATTTTTTTTTTTATGATTATTAGATGCCGTTTGCGGATTATTACTTATTAGTTCGCGGAAATTTATCGACAGTCCGGTCAAAATGCAATTTGGACACTCCTGTAACGCACACTAAAGTTCTCGTTTCCTCTTTATTCGTTTGACGTTTCCAAACGTTTTATATTACCACCCCGCCGACAGAACGACCATGCGAATAGCCACAAACAATAAGAGCGACAGCAGCTGCACCATAGTCGGTGTACGTTTCGTCAACCCAAAACACACTGTAAACCGGCTACTCCACTCACCCACTCACCCACCGGCAAACACAATATTATTATCCATTCGGCGACAAATGTTTCGTGTTGGAGAATCCCACGATTCAGTTACCTAAAATTATTTTATTCCGTAATGTTGTTTACCTAATTTATCTACCCTGCCGACCGATTCTCAGAATTATTCCTTTATCTGTATTGTTCTGTTCTTTCGTTTCCACTCTCCTCGTCCCCAACGCTCGTGGTCCCGACGCTCACCACAGCACCACAGTCGTCCGTCACTATACACACCACTACTCGAGTCAGCCCGTTTATTTCATGCGCAGCGACTGTACCTGCCGGACGTCCGTCACCAGCTTCTCGTTTGTCTCGTCCGACTCCGCACACCACCATCGCTCACCAAACGGTAATAATTTTTGCAATAACATTTTTTTTTTTTTTTTTGTTTTAACAACAATATTATTAAAATTTATTGTTGTTAACAGCCTAGTTGAACGACAACTGTCTTGTTTTGGAGACATCGCCGTCTGCCCAACCGCCTTTCGTGAAAAAAAAAAAAACCGTGACACGCGGTACGCATTATTACGCTTCATAGAAACGCCACTATGTCTGTTGATCCGAAAACCGTTGTCCCAGAGAACGTTCCCGCTCAATCTCTTCACGACGACTCCACTACTTGCCCTATGGAGACGCCCAATGACGCCGCCTGCCCTACGCAGTTGCCCGACGACGACGATGTAATCTATTGCCCACCGTTGCCGGATGACGAAACCCCAAGCATAGCATCGGATGTCACCTTCGAAATCATCCATGGCTATGACGGAGACAGAGACAGAGACACGGAATCTTTATCGTCTTTTGAAGGCGACGGTATGGCAACAATAAAGCAAGAAAAAATATCGCCCACGCCTGAAAAACGGCACTTAATAACGGAACCAGATTTCCCGGCGAAAAAAGTCAAGTCGACGATACCCAATATGGAAGTCGATGCCGATCGCAAACCGACAACACCCGACAACGATGATGCCGATCGCAAACCGACAACAACCGACAACGACGATGCCGATCGCAAACCGACAACACCCGACAACGAAGATGCCGATCGCAAACCGACAACACCTGACAACGATGATGCCGATCGCAAACCGACAACATCCGACAACGATGATGCCGATCGCAAACCGACAACATCCGACAACGATGATGCCGATTGCAAACCGTCAACATCCGGCAACGATGATGCCGATTGCAAACCGTCAACATCCGACGATAAAAACGATAAAGCCGTTGCAGCCGATCAAAACGATAGGTAATACAATATAATGTTAATGTGGTAATTACAATCATTTTTGGCGCCTACTGTATCGTTCGTGTTTATTATTGTTAGATAGATATTATTTTAAGTTACATCGACATGTGCGCGGGAACATCGATGTGTGAGCAAAGTATACTGATATCTGATTATTATTGATACTGATTCCCCGGCGTTTGGAATTAGTCGAGATAATAGCTAAAAGAGTGTAGTATCACCGTCGTAGTTTATTACTTGTATCGTAGTTTGCATAAAGATTGTCGAACGGAACGCGTTATCAACGTCGCGGTATTATCGTCGCGTTGTATTTAATTACAAATCTTATCGCTTGTCAATCATGGCTTGTCAGCGGTGTTAAAATGCGACGTAGGTACGAAATTACAAAATCACGCGACGTTTTATAACGCGTTCTGTTTGACTCAGCCTTAAATTGAGTATTGATCGATGTAATAATGGTTATAATTTTATAGGTATTATTATGATATATATTTAGTAGACTTATTTGTTTTCCCTAAATAGTACTAAACGTAATGGCGTTGTGTATAACTTTTACACAAGTCATGTTTTATTTTTTACTGATGTATTGATATTTTCAGTAGGTACAATGTATTTATCACATCGGTGTAATATAAAAAAAATGCACTATCGACGTGCGTATAATAGTAATTAATGTTGAACACTAATTAATGCTCTGTAACACCTATTATATCCACTATTCAGCCATATTTTAGTACACATTTTTGTTATTAGTAGTCACTGCGAACGTGGAAACAATATTTTGCTATATACATAGCAGACGACGAATATTGGTTTTAATCAGTGGCGAATTCTCCAGGCATGCATCGCATGCTTAAGAATAAATTACAAAAATTATTTTGTTATCAATAATATATTATGTAATTTGTAAGAAAAATAATGTACGACAATTTTTTTATTAATTTCTCGTATAGGTCATAATTGCTGTATATCAAAGGAAGTTAAAATTATTACATATCAATATTACAAAATGATCTATATTTTTATGAATGCTAGGATTATCATTTTCTAGTTATGATTTAACTTAATTTATATTGTTAAATGTATATATAGTAGTATTAATATGTTATTGCTATTAATAATGCTTTTTAATTGAAAGTGTACAAAAGAATTTATAATTTGTTAACAATTAATACCTATGATTAGTGAACAATAATTGGCCACTGACATGATTATCCATCCCACTAAATACAGAGTTATATGCATCTCTTTTTGTTTTTAAATAATTCTTATTCGTGAAATTTTTAAAAAACATATAGGTATTTCAAATTGTTTCATTTATAACTTTTTTCAATAACCTTACATATATTATACATGATACATCATTGCTTGATTTCACTAATAAATTATTTTTATCTTTTAGTTTGATTAAACGGCTATCATTAGATTAGAGTCAGGGCTGACCAAGGTTTATAGATATTAATTGTTAGTTGACAATTATTATTATACGTTTATATACAGATATTGACCAAATAACTTAATACTATATTATATTTATGCATATTGGGTTTAAATAAATAATTTAATTAATTTGTATTCATATAAAATTAATATTGTAAATATAAAGTTAACATTATTATTTGTTTGAGTAACTAGTGTCTCAATCAAACACCCTAAATGCAGGTATTTTTTTTCTTAAATGTATGTTTTTATAAAGTTTTTTTAACTCAAAACTCACCTGAAAATACTTAATTTATAATATTATTTATTTAGTTAACATTTAAGAATTTATAGAAAAAAAACAGTCCTTAAATTGGGTCCCCTATAGAAAATACAATTAAAAAAAAACTAAATTTGTATTTTTTATGATAATTTTTAAGTACTTAGTCCCATTTTTTATAATTGAAAAGTTTAGTTTTGCTCTCAGCTTATTAGATAAAAATATAAAAGAAATATAAATGAATTGATTATAATTTTTTTTTTTTTAGTGATGATGAAGATGTATCAATTAAAGAGGAAATTGTTGATTTGGGAAATGAACCATATTTTTATGAGGAACAAGTTGAAGAACGTTTTTTAATTCCTCAACGCCCTGGAGTGTTTGGTTTTGATCGTGGACTTGAACCAGATCACATTGTTGGAGCGACTGAAAAGGATGGCAAACTGATGTTTTTGATTGCATGGAAAAATTCAGTTGATGGAGAAGCTGATCTGTTGGAATCAACCGAGATTTATAATAGATGTCCTCAAATAGCTATTAAGTTTTTTGAAGACCGCCTCATTTACATTCCACCCGAAAAAAAATGAAATTCATTTGTAACTCTTACAAATGAACAAATAACACTAATAAAACACCTTTCTGATAAGTACAAAATATAAAATTACAAAATTAAAAGAAAAAACAAGAAATTGTTTTTTTATTACAGAATTTCAACTTCTTCATATTTTAATATTTTTATGATTTATATGTTATTTTTATTTATTTTTTTTTTCTAAGTATATATATATATATTTTTTTTTATGAAATTTCCTATTTTATGATTTTTTTAATTTCATATGAGTTAATAATCTTTGGTGAATTGTAATCACACTCAATACTTAATCATTAACATAACATGAAAATTTTTGTTGAGTTTATTGTGTTAACAAATATTGCAGTGTTTAAAAAAAGGATTTGAATCAGTACAATATTTTTTATTTACATTGAAGAATAAATAAAAATAAAATATTGCTTATTTTATTTAACTTTTTAAATTTAATCTATTTAATTATACAGTTATTTTTAATTTTTATAATTTAATATCATTTTAATATATTACGTTTGATTTTGTGTATTACTTTTCCCTTAATTGTTTCTCATTTTATGATAAATGTTTTCTTGTTTATTTTATAAAATTTAATACATAACTTTAAAAGCTTTTAGATTTTTTAATTTTTTTGTTTGTAAGTCTTCATTTTTAATAATTTGCGATCCTATTGGTAATTAATAAAAAAAAAATAGTGTTAAAATTATTTTTGAGTTTGTAGTGTTTTTATTTATTCATTCATATATTACATAGTTATTAATTAACATCGTATTGATACTCTACTAGTACATGGAACTGGATGGAGCTTGCGTGTTAATGTTAGTTTACTGTAATATCATTCAGGATCAGCTCAATAAGTGGCCATGTGGGCAGAGAAACACTAAACATTTAACAATATTACTTATTAGGTACTCAATAGTTTATTATTGTTAAATACTAGAGTCTATCGTATTTTACATGAATACAAACATACGTGTACACGGATATCGTGTATACAATATGAATGTAACAAAATAAAACATGATAATTCATATACGTGAATTTGTTAATCATGTGAATAATTTTAACTAGTATGAAAATTTATATTATTTATTATTTCCATCATAATAAATAAATATAAATTTTAGAAAAAGAAATAATTGTCAACTAATGATTTCTAGAAGGTTGTCACATTATATTACATTACAAAAACCTGTTTTAAACGCTGATTATCTTCATTTTGTCATATTTTTTTTAGATTTATTTATGATTTAGCAATTAACTTTATTATTTTTAAAGTTTTAATGAAATTTTATCAGACTTTATTATGTTATACCACAATATTTTTGGCGAAAGATTATATATTATGTGTAGAGTTTCAATTCTATACTTTATGATAGTTACAACAGCCAACCGTTGGCTTTGCGTGCAGCCATATTAAGCGAAGCGAACTCAAGTATATAAGTTTTTCCAAAAAAATGGGTAAAAGAAAAGTATAATAATTTATTATTATGTTATTATTTATATATTGTCAATTCATATAAAATTGTCTAAGTTACTCTATATGTTAGGTTTTTCTAAAGTAAAACATTAATTATTATTATTATTATTTGATGAGCATACTTATTCTAGTTAATATTTATACTTTGTTATTTATTATTATTAAAGTAATTTAATCTATATTTATGATATGAGTAAGATCATCTTTGTTTTACAAATAAAAGAAGAGAACTCAGTAAAATACGTGAATACACAAATTCATGGATTCACGTGAATAATATTATAAATTCACGGACAATTTTAAGCAACAGGTTTTATAAATCAAACTTTTATTTCATGTGAATACGTGAAAGCGTGTACACATGAAAAAACGAGCACTATTAAATACTGAAAAATAAACCTTTCAATCTGCTCCTACTCAAGCATTCAGAATAAATTCAAAAGCATAAAATAAATTATTTTTTAATAGTAACTGACTATTATCTATGGATATAAATATAAAAAAGTGTCTTATTTTTTTAAGTTTTGTAATATTCCTTGGATGATGATAATGATCTAATTAATTATTGATAAAAATTAATATTAAATTGTATTCAAAACAAAATGGTTTTGGGTAGATTAATTAAAACCTATTCTATATAACCAACCTTTTTTATACATTTAAAAAAAAAAATTAAAAGTTTGATTTATCAATAAAATGTTCAGATTTCAGGTTAATTTATTAAAATAATTCATGTACACATTGTAACACAATTTATTTGACCGAGTACTTGGGAAAAAATGTAATTAATACATGTTATTTGTTAAAGATCTAAAATTACATTTTAATACAAATTCAATTTTAACTAATAGTAATATAATCCATTTCACGAAGAATATTCATATTAAAAACATAAAAAGTCAAGATTACTATTACATTAGAAAAAAAACATTTACTTCAGTTGGACAAATATGAATTTAACATAATGCAATACCATTTTATCTTAAACAGTAACAAAAGAAAAGAATACAACAAAAGTTAACAATTAAAATAAGCACTGTATTCATAATATTAAAACAAATAATAACTACTACACACAACTGTAGAAAATGCAAGGTGATCTGCTAAATGAGAAAATTATTTTTAAAGTATGCACCAATATTTAGTATTAATAAAATAAAGCATTTAATAATTGACATAATATACTTTTAATCATAATGTAAAAAATTATAAATTATATGAATATTTTTTTGATTTTAAAACTAATTTTCATCTTGCACTCGCACTATAATAATAATAATGTATATTATGGATTAATTAAACCTAAATCGGCAACACTTGCTTTATACAATGAAGACTAAACAGCAAATTTGAATACAAATCAAACAAATTTAATTTATTTATTTATTTTTTTATAGAAAAATACGAACAATACTATATTCATTATTAATACAATAAACAATACAAGGAACAGAGAGTTATCTAATATACTTTGTTGCCCATTTAGGTATATTTAATCTATTTTAAGTTTAAAATAAAAACAAAATATTATCACATCAATTTTAAATTTTTATCCTTATAATTTACTTACACATCTATAAGAATTATGCATTAAATATTTAAACAAGGTTCTCAAACTATCATAATACTATTTTTAACAGGCCACGAGAAAGGCATTTACAGAAACATTATTTATACATATATATGTGTGTAACAAATACTAAAACATTAATTTCCATAAATATTCTGTAATATCAACAAAAACTTTAATTTTAAACGCTGTAATGTCTCAAGCCAATTTTGTTTATAAAATAGACTAAATAATAAAATTATAACAAAAGTAATAATAATAAAATAATAATGATAATGATGATAAGTTGATAAACAATAATTATAATCATATGAATATATAATATAAACGACTAGTAAACATATAACTTCAACACAATATTCATTAATATTTGATATTTACATAAATAGAAAGGGCAAAACATTAGTTATGTTCAAATCTGTATCCAGAATTAAAAACTGTCCAAACAAAAAAAAAAAAAAAATTAACAATTACCAGTTATCACAACACTTAATATACATATTTATATATATATATATATATATATATATCAATTTGTGTTTAAATAATAAAATAAAATAAGATTAATATAGATATTTAAAACAATAACAAACTAAAAATATATATATTTTACACAATATTTTACTTTACGTTATGACGCAGGTAACATAATTTTTGGAATAATTTTATGTGTTAAGAATTATTATTTGGAATGTTTTATTTAAATAAATAAATATATTATAAATATACATAAAGGGAAGGGAAAATGAAAATATTAAAAAAAAAAAATTGTTCATCAGATAATCAAATAATTGCGTCAACTATTCAAGAATCTAAATAGTAATTAAACTCGTATACTTCTAATTATAATGTAACATACACAATACAACTTTCATAGTCACAGAATAAGGGACTACTTTTTTTAGTTTTTAAATTATTGGATTATGCACACTGTGAAATTTAGCAATGAAACAATATTGTATAATAAAAAGCGTAATTAATTAGCTTAAAATTTATTACATAAACATATCTATTTATCATCCTCGCAGTCTTCTTCCATTGGTTCTTCACTAGGATCAGAACTTCTAAAACAAATTAATTAACAATATGTATTAATTAACGGCTTTCAGTTCTTTTAATAACTATCCAAGTATCAGACTATGTTTTTAATGAATGCTCACCCCCTCCCTATCTACACAGATACTAAATTAAAGTAAACTGCTTACTGTATTCTGTGTCTGGTCATTGACAACGAAGCCATAGCACTAACTGTTTCATTTTCTTCACATAAGGTAGCTTCTACAGCACTGCATGATACTGTATGTGCTAATTTCTTTAATATAGGCCAGTGGGGCAACTGTTAAATAAATTATATCAATAAAAGGACCGATATTAATTCTAATAAGATTTATTTAAACAACCTGAATTGCGATGGTTTTTTGTAATGTTTTTATAGCATTTTGACATGGGGTGCGATGAAGCTCAGATTGCACAATTGGTGTTACTTCATCTTCAAGTAGTGCCCGTACACATTCTTCTGCACTGTCACATATGGCTGTTAGATCATATCCTCCTTCTAATGATAAAATTACCTACGCAAAATGTTATTAATTAAAAATATTGACTAATTAATTTAAAGGACAATTAATAAATAAAAACATACCTTCCCATCTGCAATTTGCATGAGCTGTTGTGTCATGTAAGCAAAACAAGCAGGTGTTACATTATATCCACCCAATGGAGCTGGATGACCTGAAGCTGCATCAAAACCTGCTGATACCAATATAATTTCTGGAGCATAATCCTAAAAAGTAAAATAATGATATAATCAATATAGTTTAAGATCAGAAGAAGTAATTTACTCGAGCAATAGGCATAACAACTGTCCGAAAAGCTGCTAAGTATTCAGCATCACCAAGTGGAGGTTGTAGTCCACCACTCCATGCTATATTCACATTGTATCCTAGACCACTGCCAGCGCCACACTAAAATATATAGAATGTAGATAGAAAATTTACAAAACATATTTTTTTTAAGTACCTACCTCACCAGGTGCACCAGTTCCTGGGAAGAAGTTACCTTCGTCATGCCGATGAATGGATAGATATAAAACACTTCTATCGTTATAGAAAATTTGTTGAGTACCGTTACCATGGTGAACATCCTATAACAATGTAATACAGAAAAAAAGTATGAAATATATTTGTTCAATAAATAAATATATGAAACGTACCCAATCAACAATAAGTATACGCCGTACAGCTTGTCTCTGTTGTAACAGACGACAAGCAACAGCAATTGAATTAAAAAAACAAAATCCCATAGCTTGATTAGCTTCAGCATGATGACCAGGTGGACGAACAATAGCAAAACCATTTTTTACATCACCCAGAGCAGCTATTTACAAAATTGTAAAACAGATTTTCAATAACAAAAAATAAAAGAATGTTTTCCTATAAAAATGTGTACTACCTTTAAAAGCCAAATCAACAACACAACCAACAGCCATCCGAGCAGCTGGAGCTGTATGCAATTCATTCCATGTAGTGTCAGAATCTACACCTAATCCACCACAAGGCAATCGTACCAATGCTTTCACAGGCAATTCAGCTAATTTAGAACTATCCATTTTTTGACGACTTGCAAGGTTTGTACCTAATTAGACAATATAAATAATAATATAAATAAAATTAGTTCAATAAAAAATGTTTAGCAAAATTAACCAAATAAAAGAGTGTGCGGTTCAGTATGGCATGTTTGTAATTCTTCGATTGTAGCTTTGCGAGGTCTCAATTTATAACACCGTCTAGCTAATCCTGTTTCTATTAATCGAGCCCAGACACTTTGAAGCCGTCCACTATGTTCTGGATGTATAGCATTGTTGCCACATTTACAAGCATGTTTCAACATTAAACTATCAAATGCTAATCCAGTAGTAGGCCGGTGTGGACTTCTAGAATTAATTACAAATTAATATTCAATATAGAAATAAAAATGTATTAATTTGAAGGCACTCACCCTGATATTTTAGCACCAGAAGAATTAAGACTAGTAGATGAAAGATATGGTGATGATGATGATGTAGATGTGTCAGAGTTAATGCCTCCCGTACTTATAGTTGCATCTAAAGGACTGGAATATGTTCTACTTAAAGGAAGAGTAGCATGTGTATTCCGATTTGCAAAAAGTGAAACTGTAAATAAAACAAAATGTTAAGTTGAAAATACATAAATATATTATCATAATTGAATTAACATACTATCATTGGATTGAGATGTTTGTCGCATCATTAGATCACGTTGTTGTTGTAAAAATGTCTGACTTTTATTTTTTAAACCATTATCTGTTGATGTTCTTGGACCACCAGTCAAATCAATCACCTACATTTATAAATATATTATGTTAAACTATATAGTTAACTTTGTACATTATGTTTACAAACCTTTGCGTCATCATCTTGGTCTTCATTTATTAAACTACTGTTATTAGCCAAATGTGCTCGACTTCCAGCTCGAGTCAAAACAGTATGACGGATTTGCTAAAAAAAATTACAATTTTAATAATAAAAAATAAAATAAAAATATTTTCTTTAAAATTTAAAAAAAATGTACTTGTTTTAAATAATGTGTGTTAAGTTGTTGAAGTGGTAATTCGTAATTTTCATAATGAACACTTAGTTGTTGACCTGGTACAGTACTGTTCAGCATTGGATGCCCTAGAGGTAATGGGGCTGATTGCGTACGACCTAATGGTCTGTGTCCAGCTTTATTCAATCTAGCATGTGCCACTTGAGTGTCAGTAATGGGTGCAGGATGAAATGTTGGAGTAGTAGTAGTTTGTCTGGATTCAAGACTTCGCATTTGTTTTTGAATGCAACTTTGAGATGTATCCAGTACTATATAATCAATATGAATTTTAAATATGCACTATAAAATATATTTAAATACTCAATAAATTTAATAAAATGTTATTTAGGTACTCGATATTTTTTTTTAATTTTAAGTTTAAAATATTATTATATAATAAATTAATAATTACTTGGAAGCGTAGGATAATATGGCAATGTACTTGATAACATTTGACCAGTGAGTGGTGCACCTAATCTAGCAGTAAATGCGGCACGGACTTCAGCTTCCGAAACAGATGATAATTTTGATCCATCCTAAAATATATCAAATTAAAATTAAAAATTAGAAATACTTAAATCTGTAACACAAAATATATTTATACATAATATATTTTATTCATTAAATAGATTAGTTTTATAATTTTAAAGAACTGCAGTAAAGCAAGGTTACTAACAAAATTATTACCAAACATTTAATAATGAGTTAATGGTCTCTTAAACATAATTAAATAGCCCATAATTGGTCCATTAAATAAATCAATTTTTTATGCAAACATTCTATTAAAGACCTTATTTAAGTACTTAAAACAAAATAAAACATTTTTTTTAAAAATCAGATTTTTTTTTTAATTAATGAAAATATTCTTACAAAATGATTTTAATAATATTGAGAATCAATTTTGACATCACATAATATTTGTTTAAAAAAATGCCTGAATAAAATATTTATGAAGATTAGAGTACTGGAATGTACTGTATAAGCCTATAGAGTATAAACTATGATAAATTATTTTAAATATAGACCTATATTTTTAATATTAAGTATATTATTAACTTGTGAGAACGCAGCCTAACCTAACCTCTTCAGAACGTATTGTTATATCTTACATACAAATTAATCAACAGGTTATAAATACACTTAGACATTTTTTAAATGCCAACTTCAGTCTATAAGTCTTATACATGCAATTTTAAATAAAATTAATATAAAAGATATTAAAATATTTCATTGTATTTATTCTGATATAGTCCAACCCACCTTAACATATAATACATATTAGATAATATTTCTTTCATGATTTCATATGCATATACTTAGACTAGAAAATAGGTTAAAATACAGATGAATAATTTAAAAATGAATTTTAGATTTTTGACCATAATTTTTTTTTTTTATAATAACTTAAAATAAATGTACAATTAAATTATTTTAGTTATTTGTAGTATCCTATAAATCAGAGGTTGGCAACCTGTGGCTGGTGTAGCAATTTTATGTGGCCCGCGATTACAATTTATAAACGGTATAAAAATATGGAATATCACATTATATTAGTTGATAATTTAACTTTGTTAATATATATCACGTTAAATTAATATAGGCACCAAACAGTGATGAAACCTGAAAAAATGTAATTAAACTTTGTTTATGATATAAACTGTAAAATGTAAATAAAATAATGTGTATGGCCTGTAAAATTTTTTTTATAACTTTTTGGCCCTTGACACCAAAAAGGTTGCCAACCTCTTCTCTAAATTGACAAAAACTTTAATAAAATTTAAAATAATTTACACCTCCTTAGAAGTTTTTGCTATTACTGTGATAAGTATTTTAATTAACAAATAATATTATTTGAAACTATTGAAAAGCTCTTCAACACAATGATTTTAAGCCAACAAATTAAATAAATAAATAAAAATCACATGGCATTTTAAAACAAAGATTTTAGAATGGTTATGCAAATTGAATTTATAATTTATTAACTGTAAGAATTTAAAACTCAATTAAAAATAAACAATATAAAAACTAAAATAAATAATTATTTTGAATTAAAAGATATTTTTTTTTGATATTTAGTGATATTTAACATATAAATAATTCACGGGTTCAATTACGTAATTGTTTTAATTTTAAAATTTGTTTCAGGTTGATGTTGTATTCATGTGAAACATATTTTATGTAACACCAATGTACTTACCCGATCCATTAATTTTGAAAGACACCAAATAAACTTGATGTAATAAAGTGAAAGATTGAAACATAAAATCGGGAAAACAAGTGTTTTATTAAAGAGTAGACAATATAATAATCAATGTATTGTATTTTATTATCACATGATTCACATGTTACGGCAAAGAAAAATAATTATATTTAGTTAAAAAATACAAACTATTCATCAAAAGACTCAATTGAGTATGAATATATCCTGATTGAGTTAGTTTATCTATGTATGATAAATTAATTTTATTAATTAGTGTAATTTTTGGGGTAGTACCACCAAATGTTGTCTATATTATGTATGTATTTAATATAAATGTATAATAATTATGTTATTATACAATATAAAACACATTGATCAATATTTTTTCAAATGAAACCCTTCACCTGTGGAGAAAAATATTTTTCACTTACATATAGATTTGTGATTAATAAATAAAAATAAAGTTGTATAAATATTATACTTCAGTTAAGTTATTTTAACATTGAACAGTTGTAATGTTAAGTCATATTTTTAATATAAACATAATTTATTTATCTAGGTTTGATTTATTTAAATTACATTGAGAATAGTTGTTAGCAGATATGAATATAATTGAAAATTTGATCACTTAAATATCGTAAAACGTTATAAATAATCATTTTTTGACTGAATAACGATTTACCAACACATCTCTCATGAATATGAAAGGTGATTTAATTAAATATCTACACTCATTATTTCAAAAAGTTTTAACTTTTTTGAAAAAGTATATTTTTTTAAATTATTGTTAAGTATAATATTTTATGTTTTTTTTACGTTGCAGAATATTTATAGAGTATTTCGTCACATAAATAGCATTCCGAAAGAGTAGTTAATTAGTTTAAAGCAGAAACTTGCAATTAATAATAACTCATTCGAAATTTTATTTTTATGTATCAATGTAGTTATAAAAATATTTTAATACAAAATATGAAGTTAAAAATATCTGTTATTTTTCAATGACTTCAAATTGTGTGAGAATAATGTTTTCAATAGAGTTAAAACACTTTGAATTAATGAGTGTAAATATTTTTAAATGAATCATCTTGTACACATCATATTAGAATATGAGTATAAAAATGTTATCTCTATAAATGACCTGGTCGTGTATGCGTGTGTGTTTTTAGTATGGTAAATTTAAATATTGTTTTATTTATGGTGAGTAAATAATAAGATATCGAGATTGAGTGTGTCAAAACTAAAAAATGATGACCTATTCTAATGATAAAAATGTTTTTATTATATTTACATGAATGGTTTCATGTCGTATTTTCGTTCTAATGATGTCAATACACGTGAAATAAATTTAATCATATTATTCTTTTTTTTTCAACCACTTAAAATCAAATGTATATAATAAAATATTTTTGAGCGATTTTATGACATGTAATTTTACTTAAAAGAATTTTTGAAGTTATGAGTTCGTAAAATAAAACAATATTATAAAATACTGATTCCATCACAGAAAAGTTGAAATATCCGAATACTGTTAACGAACAAATAAAGATAATGTTTTGTACTTTAAGTTTGATAAAAGATCAATTCACTTTATTATTAAAGCTAACAACATAATATTTGAGACTGCTGAACGTAAATTTATCATTATGTTGTATGTGCGTCAGAGAGAAAACAAATAATACGCTGACATCCTCTTAGCTGTTTAAATATTCGGAGAGCGGAAATAGCGACAATAGATTAAAAGATATTTATAAATTATGACGTTTTTTTTTTAATCATAAAATAAAAATATATATAACTATCTATTTATTCTATTTATTAGTCAACGGTTTTTTTTACATTGTTAAGTCATAATTTATGCTTTAACAACTTCTACGATTATACATTTAGACATAACACATATAATATTATAAATGCATTATATAAAAATAGCCAAGTCTAGACCAGAAAAAAATTAACAGACGAAAATAAAAATGTTTAGAACTGTAACACTACCAAATTTTATTAATTTGGGAGTATAAAGTTATAATTAATTAACTATTGGCTTAAAATTAAATTTATATACAATAAATACTTTGAAAAATAATTTAATTAGGAATATGAAAATAAAAATATATGATTAAAAATGTACTTATTTTTTTTTTTTTAATTTTAACTAGGTAAAAAATTGACGATTTTGACGAGTGTCTTAAGTTAAAAAAACATTCCGTACACAGTAAGTCTTCGTATAACGTCAAGATTAGGTTCTTAGAAAACACGAAGTTACCGAAAAAACGTTAATCGAAATACTTTTTACATACACTTTATTATAATGGGTTCTAATAAACAACAATGTACAAATTATAATTACACGATTTGTTTGTATTAAATTATACACAAAACTAAAAATAAATGAAAACTTATAATCATATTTACGTATGTATTTACAATTTATTCCTTAAAAAATGAATAACGATTACAAATATTATCCAAAATTAATTGAAATAGTACGAGTACTACGTAGGTATGTCAATCAAAACGATAACAGTGTTATCTGAAAAAGGTCGACGAAATTAAATTACTTATTGTAACAACTAATACAATACATATATATAAATAGTAAATACATATAACAAAAATTTGATGAACACATGTACTACAGACGACGTTATACTAAAACCGCTGCAGTGTTAAACGAAACACAAGGACTCTTTAAACTTCTACGACGCAATAGCGAAATAACGCTAAATGAGACGACAGTAAACGAGGACTTACTGTATACGATAAGCATTTTCTATACTTTAGTAGTGTTTTATACCAGCTGAACAGGAAATATAAATATTTTTATCAGAATTATGTTATTTATTTTATGAACAAAGCATTACTTAAATAATGGAGAAAGCTTTAGCAACAAGCATAAAAAAAAATATATTCATGACTTCCAAATGTTAAAAAAAAATAATTATAAAAATAATCGTCAAAACTATCACAGACAAGGTATTAAAAAACAAGTCTGATGCAACTTAAAACAAGTTTTTTATAGGTTAAATTCTAAAATAGTTTAAATAATTATGCCTAAGAATGTTCAATAAAATAAGATCTTATACTATACTATATTTTATACTTAAATTTTAAAACTGTATAAATGTTTAGGAACTATATAAATCTACCCAAGGTGACTAATAGCGAGGAAAGTACCTTAGAATTAAACTTGGTTTGTTTAAAATAGTTCAATTTCCTACAAAAACGGCACAATTTGTATTTATTTTTATAAAATAAATATTATAAATATGTAACATATTTTATACAATCCTACAAATTTCAATATAATTAGTAAATGGTATAGGGTACCTACTTACCTACTAAATAATGATATTACAATTAAGCCTTCGATTAATATTTAAAAACTGATACAAAAACATTGTATTTAAATTTTATTTATTATTAATTAATCAATTACAATTAAAGGAAAATAGAATTTGGCGGAGGTTATCATAAACGTACACTTTCAAAAAAGGTCGTCATTCCAAAATCAAATCGTTTAATATCGCATACACTGATATATATCAATAACGCACACATTTTTGTCTAAAATCATAAAATTATAAGCAATGAAATGAATTTAATAAAATATTTGAAAATATTTCTTTTACGAAGATTTGATTTATAATAATAAATGTTTAATTTTTAAATGTAAATAAAATGCGTGCCGTTTTTAAAGACATTCGGATTTAAGGGTTAATTTATATAAAAAACATTAGTTCCTTATTATAACTAATGAAAAAAATCTCACAAAAACAAAAACTGATGTTGACAAAACAATGGTTCGTTATATGAGTTATATGATTACAAATAATTTTTTTAATTTACTATTACTATAATATAATTTTACAATTATTAAATCATCTATAAATTAACAATAGATTATTTAATTAAATACTTAGAATGTTTATATACCTATAGTATATTAATAATATTATAGTACATATATATTAACGTTGCCATTTATAAAAAAATACAAGCCAGGACACTATAATACTCCTCCCCCCAATAACAGATTCTTCGGAGTTTTCAATAGTATTTTATTTTAGTTCGACATTATTTAATATTGCAGCCTTTTGTGCTATTTTATGTTTATTAGATTTCATGCGATAAGTTATATCAGTTTCTCCACCGTGACTAATTGAAAATGTACTCAAATATACAGAACATTTTACATCAAAATTAATTTTGATTTTTACCTTTTTAATAAATGAAAATTCGTTTTGGAATTTGTCAGCGAAGCTTTGGAAAGATCGTTTTGGAACCATGTTTAAAATAGTTTTAGGTGTAATAGCATAAAAATAAAATTATTTTTTGTTGTAATTACAACACAATAATCACAAAGTTATTTAATTTAAATGCAGAGACAAAACAAGTTCACAGTACATAGAACTTTGACGTATATCATAAGACTGAAGAATGATAATCGTCAATTCTATAAATTGTATACACTATGTTGGTATGAAACACTAAATTATCGGTCTTTGGCTATCTCTGAAATTATCGACAATTTTTTTTTAGTTATTCACGTATGACAACAATTCGGGACTAATTTTAAGAAATCGGTGCTTATCCACCACATTCATGTCAGGAGTTGAAAAATATAAGAACTGTGTAGTGAAACAGTAGTGTACCGGCAAAATCGAAAAGAATGGCAACCCAAATATATATAATATATATGTTTAGCAACTTATGCGTGGTATGATTAAAAATTAAATTGAATTCACCTATTATCATACTTAAAGTTTAAAGATAAGAAAATAATTTTGGATTCTTTAATTATATCGGTAGTTATTATTACAATATTTTATGTTCGAGTAACATGAATTTTTATGTTTTAATATTTTAAAATACCAAAAAAACACAGATGATCTATATTTTAAGTTTGATAATAATTTAATTCAACTAAATATTTAAGCTAATAACATAAAATTAAAATTGCTAATTATAAAGATTGGTATATTAAGCGTTAGTAAGATTGAGACAACACATCATAAGAAGCAATTGATTGTTAAATTATTGTTTATTGCTTATTAGGAGATTATGTTTAAATGTTTTGAATAAAAATGTTCTATTATAAAAGACAGGCTTAACCTAAGTGTACCTCATTGTAATACATAGTATAAAAATATAAAATATATAAAACATAATAAATATGTAATATATTACGTTAGTTAAAATATGTTAAACAATCAATAGTGCTTTTAAGACTCACGCCTAACTAATTGATTTTTATTTTTCAGGCGTGAGTTAACTCAATAATAATAAGATTATAATTATAAATATTTAATCGTAGTAAAATATTAATTACCGAATTTGATGGTGGTCGACCAAGTGATATATTAGGCATCGAAGGACTTGTATATAATGCAGATATATCAGCAACACTACTGCTTTGGTCTGATTTATTAATAGACATATGATTAAATGAAATTTCTCCTTCCTTAAAAAATAAAACGAATACGTAAAATTATAATTAATTAATGTTTATGAAAAATTTGTATTTTACTTCTTTTATTGGAGTAGTGGCTCCAGTTGAAGGTGAATTTCGACAATTTGATATGAGTATAGGAGGAGAATTAGGTCCAGAACCGGGAGTGCTGCCTGAAGGAGACGTCTCTACTGAAAAATAAAAATAGGAATGTGAAATTTATGAGGGGATATTAAGAGTTTACTATTGAAAGGGAAAATATTTTATTAATAAAATGGTACGGTACTTGCGAGCTTAGACACTCTGCTGCCGGATCTTTCTTTGGGCCGTGCAATTGGATTGTTACGTCGGTCGAACATGCGCTGTTTCAATCTGATTTTGAGTAAATTCGGTTCGGACACTGCATGCAATAACATTTTCAACACACACAAGGAACAAAAAAAAAAAAAAAACACGCTTAAGTTAGGAAAGTGGTCAGTGGATGGTGGATGAAAAGAAAACAAACGTTATATTAAAAAAAAAAAAACTTAAGTAATTAAAAGGCATAACGAATTTGTTATTATCTATTTACGTTGTCATTATTATAGGTTAATATTACAGATTATTTATATAGTTAAAAAACAACTCATTGTATTTAAAAAAAATGTTTAGATGACACTACACTTCCATTCATTGTCTGTGAAAACTGTTTTGTAAACGAAAGACAACTCGAACTAAAGTTATAAATGGAAACCAAATGTACGAATACATTACATAATACAATATTTTTTATTAAATTCCGTAGTCTTATTTATTTATTTTTGATATTATAATTATAAAATCATAATTAAGTCAGAAAATGTATTGTATCAAATCCCTTAAAAGGCGGACATTTAAATTTTTTTTTAAATAGTTTAACAAATTTAAAAGAGAATTAAAATAATCAAAACAAAAAGTTTAATGTTAAATAAATTTAATTACATTACTGTCCAGCTTACATTTGATTATTTTTATCAGTAATATTGTTGGATTAGTAAATAGCTAGTATTCTACGAACAAAATTATAATTTCCATAACACTAGAAAATGTAATTGACAATCAATAGTTATAGATTGTAAGATTATTTTACAAATATAGTTAAATTAATCGTATTTTTCAGTTAAACAAATAATAAGTCACACAATCTAGACATCCAAATTTTTTTTAAATAAATAAATAGGAATATTTCAATTTTTTGGTTTAAATGGAATTTTTGTTTATAGTTAAATTTTTAAGTATTATTTGTATTTGTTATATGATTTTGCATTATCATAAATTTATAAATATATTAGACTGATAAAAAATAAACAAACATAAAATAGAAGTTTCTAGGTATTTAGCGCATTATATTTTTAGAAATTATTAAAACAATGAAAGATGTTAAAAAAACTACATTTTATTAGATTAAATATAAATACCTGTTTTTCTTAGAGGAAAATCTTCTTCGTGCCGTCCAACAAATCTATATGGTGTAATATTTGACCCACTAGATGATGGACTTAAGCTACTAGGCATTACGTTTGGTTCCGACTGCTGAGATTGTAAGACGCCCCTATAAAATAATATGAAAACTTTAAATACCTATACATTGGTATATTTAAAACAATTTATTATTAAAAAACTAACCAACTATGGTATGATTGTTGGGATTGTATACAACTGCTTGACGCTGCTTCTCGATGTTTTTTACTCAGCAGAAATCCCTAGATAATTTTAAGGATATACTAAATAAAAAAAACTGGAATAGAAAATTTAAGATATTGATTGTGAAAATCGTAACAATAGCTCTTCGTATTTAATTTTATTAAATATATCCAAAAGGTCTTAGGATTTACAGCGATGTCTATGTTTACAATTAACAGTTATGACTGTTATATTATTGAGCAAATGGAGGGTATTATACTATTAGTATTTGTATATTATCTAGTTGGTGTTAGTGTTAGCCTACTATAGTCCCCTAACTTCTAAAGAACAAAGGTGGGCGTTTTAATATATTTCTCGGGGCGTTTGAACTCTGAAGTGATCATACATTTTTAAATACTATAATAAATAATAACTATATTTGTACACACGATAATAAGGCTGACATGGCCCACATATGATAAAATATGACTCAGTAGTTATTTTTTTAATTTACCTACTTTTACTATTCAATTTTGAATAATGTGATATTTATTTAAATTATTTGTATAGTAATATAATTACATTTTTACCTAATACAGAAATGTAAAGTAAAGCAGTATTTGATTTTAAATTATTATATGATTATGATTTAAAATTTATATTTCAGACATAATATGAACGAAATAATTGAACTAAAAAAAAATTATTTAGATAATTATACATTAAATAACTAAAATACAAGATTATTAACGATAAATTATGTATAACAATTTTATTCTGTTTGCTATTTCTATAATATAATCATACAAAGTTGATGTTATATTATTTTTACTGATATTTATAAGGCTTAGTTAGGTACAGTTTTATTTTACACAAATGTCCACAATCCGTAGTACTTATAAAGGTTTTTCTAAGCAGTAAATAATAATTATAATAAGTTAAAAATGTTGTGATATTTGTTACATACCATATATATATTTATATATAATACAATAAACCTATTATATGATTGACACAAAATATACACAACACTAAACACTTTTTGACACGTTCGAATTATTACTTAAAATACTAAAATTATATACGGCAGGCAGTTCGACACTAACATCGACACAAGCGAGCTCAATAATACACTTATTAACAACCATCTTTCAAGATAGTAGCGTATTATTTTAAATATAATTATTATTATAGATTTATAAACAAAACTTGTCTTATTATTGATAAATACCTCATACACAGTACTTTAACCCCCAGCTACGGAAAACTTATCCATAAAGAATAGAAAACCTTCTCTGGATAACTAATATCGTAATAAGGTTCCCCCGACTACGTTACAATTTCATGTAGAACCTATGTAATATGTATATTTAAAATTATACATACCACGCTAAGTAATGGTCATTATTCTTTTAAATGTTTACAACATTTTTTCAGAGAATTTAAGAAAACGAGAAGTAAGCAGGATACGTAAGGTAACAAAAACTAAACCTATTTTTAGTAAATCAAGCAGCGAACTTTTATCAGATTTATTTTTCAAATGCAATAATATCGATCATAGCTTTAATACTTAACGTAATACGATTAAATCCACTCTTATAAATTGTTAAGTAAACTTAAGCTAGTTATTTTTTAAATTTAACTTTAATTTCGATTATATTTTTTTAATACTTAGTTCAATATTTAAAATGGACTTTTTTTTTGTTTTCTATGCCTTTGGCTCACTTGATTTTTTTTTCAATTTGTACTCCCCCCTAAAAACAATTTTGGATACGCCTCTGATTTAAAGATATAAAAGAATAAAAAATCTTTTTAATAACAGTTAGTTTTATACATTTGACTTAATTTTCTTGGTTAATTGTACATAATATATGCATTAAAAATCAGTTATAACTACAAAATTTTTTAAACGCATTCAAAAATTAATAAAATAATTAACAAAACTTAACCAAGAATCCAAGATAATACTATACAATATAATAAGAATAAGAAAATATTTTAATTTAACGTTTCAATAAATATCGTTGTACTTTTGATATAGAAACTAATATTCATGCATCCGTCATTAAAATTATTTATTTGTATTACCTGTAAAATTTGTTTAACTTCGGATGACGCAATAGCACTTTGTTCATGTTTTTCTTTTTTTTTTATGGTTTCCAATTTTTCTTCTTCCTTTTTTTCACGCTGTTCTTTTTCTTCAAGTTCCCGTTTTTTTTCCCATAAATCCTGCATAACACATGTCTATACATTATTTATGTAAAATCTTCGTCCATCAAGAACACGCTATGAACTATTTGTATACATTTGTAACTTAATACAGATATTATGCTCATAAAATGTATAACAATAGCAAATAACACAAGATGACAGTTCAAATCTTTTATTCAACAGGTTATTAAGTCGGTTGAGAAACTTTTATTTGTATCTATGTATAATATACATGTAGGTACTATGATAAATTATTAATATATATTATTGTTTGAAAAATATTCCTCTGAAATAGGAAATTTATTTAACTAATTCTTTCATCGAATAGTAAACTCTAATATTTTTTCTTATATAATATTTTACTTTAAGATGTTGTCGGAGTTGTTGTTCATGTTGCTCGGCTAACTGTTGTTGTTGAACTTGGAATTGTTCCAATAAATATTGTTGTTGAAGTTGTTGTTGCTTTTTTAACTAAAATTATAAATTATACATATTTGAATTTATGTGAATAACTTTTTTTATGTTATGTAGATAAATAAACAATACACAAAGCTTTTAATTATGTTTTACTTTTCTTTTCTTTTTTTTTTTATTTTACTTTTTATATTTTAACAAATAGTTATGAAAATAAAGAACAATTAGTTCATTTATATGAATTCAGTCATTGCCTATAGGACACATTGAATGTTTAAAAGAAATTTATTAAGTAAGTGTATAAATAATTTGCAATAAAATGTATAAAAAACTATATTTTTAACAATACAAATTTGTAAAATTTTAATAAAACATGATTATTGATTATATAGTGTCAACTTAAAATACATTTTTAAACGGGTATCAAATAAATTATTAAATTTCCAATTTTGTGTTATTGTGTGAACACGGTTATAAAATATGCATTATGAAATTTTAAATAATTATATTTTAATTTAATTTATTTTGTTATAGCAGATTGTTTTCTATAATAAATCGTTTTACCATGTTGAAACCTTAGTTTACTGTTTTTTTTGTTATATAATTAATATAATACCAATTAAGTATAAAGACAAAAACTAAAATTACCAATACTATTTGTTAATTATCCAACTTAATATTTTTAAAAGGTGAATAATTGTTATGTAAATATAAAAAAAATATTTAAATCAAGCTTCGATAAAAATGCAAAATATTATTAGAAATTAATTTGATAATAATTTAATATAACTCCAATAATATTTTAATGATTTAAAAAACTGCATTTTACTTCCAATATTTGATGATGTATTGTGTTGTGTTCGTGGACGTGATTAGTAGGTCGAACTAATTCCAAAGGTTTGTCCCCCAACGCGTCTTCAGTATTGTAACTGCTCACTATTGATTCACGAGTCATTTCTAAATATAATAAATCAAAAGTTAACATAGATTTTATTTACAACTATGAAAATAATTTTAAAATTTAAATAAATAATTATTGCTCTAATGGAATAGTTTTTATTCTGACCTACTATATTTGATTTTAGGCACTTTTTGATGTTCATCTTCACACGACTATTTAATATCTACCGCAATTATATTAAATAAGCTATTTATTCGCTGTCATAATTTATAGCCAGTTTTAATAAAGAAGGCGTTACTGGATTGTTTTTTTATGCCGATTGGACGATAATTGATATTGTTTATAAAAATAATATACAACGCCATAAATTTGGTGATATTGTCTTATTTTATATAATCATAATAAAATATAACACTTTTTTGTTTAACTTAATATTTTATAACATTATAGAACCTACAACAGGCCTTTTTACTCTAATCATTTATTATTAATGTGAAAAAAAAATTTTAAGTGTTCAACACTTGCAACTGATTATGGACACAAATCGAGTAATGATAATACACCGTCGCTTATAGAAATAAGAATATGCATAACCGTTCAGAATAATTAAAATTTTTCATTGAAAATTAAACTAAACGTTAATTTTATATTCAAAATGCTTCTCCACTTTGATCAATCTATTGGTTTTACAACGATGTAATGTACATACATATATTTTAAAATTTGAGTCACTATCTATTGGAACAGGAAAAATGTTTTAATCTTCAATTAAAAGAGTTTTTTCTAGTAGAGAATCCGATATAATAGGTAATTTGAGAGGTTGAAAGTAAAACTAGATTTTTTACACAAATTTAAAAAAATCGATTTTTTTTGTTGTAATTTTTTACAAAATATTTACATTTAAGTTGTATTATATTTTATTGTATTTTTTAAGTACAACGATTTAAAAATAAATGTTATTATTAAAGTTTTGTGTTATTTATAGACATTTTAATTTTAATTCACAGTTTTTTTTAATTTATGTCAATTTTACACGAATGTAAAATTTTTTATGAAATTCATTTAGGTAACAAAAACAATGATGAAATATATGAACACAACCATTCAAAAATTCACTTTAAACCTTTAATGCATAGTGATGTATTATACCTAAAAGGTTAATAAAGTAAATTTAGTGTATTGTTTACGTAGGTTTATAAATTTATATATATATATATGCATAAATTACTATGATTAAAATCTGTGAATAATATTTTTAATTTCAATTTAATTTATACTCTGATAATTGATAATTCAATAGAAATAAATGATATGAAAATAAAATCTTCAAATTGGCTCAAATAAAACAAATATAATTTTTTATACTTTTTGAAAAGAAATACTACGAGATGCTTTGTCTTTTACAATAATAAAGTAGGTACATAGAATACATAGTTTAATTATTACATATTTTACCTATATCAATTTAATTTACAGTAAGAACAGAAAAAAAATCGTACACACATATTAAAATAATTATTGTTCTAAAAGTTACTTTTTTTTAGGGTTACTTAAGTATATAATAATTTCATCAATAGTATGAAATATTTAAAAATGAGCTAATTGAAAACGTTTTTACTTTATTAACTATGCATTCATTAAATAATTTTAAATTCTATTTTTTTCATATAATAATTAAACGTTATACTGTAGTATTTTTTAATTTAAACACGTTGTATTACTTTAGTTAATACAATACTAACATTTCCTCATGAATAGTTGATAAATTAGAAAATTAGAAAGATAACAGTGATAACTCATTATACACTTATCTACACGGGCCGCGGTAAAGTTAATTTATTATTTATTATGAGACTAAGAAGCAACAATATATATTAATAAATAACAATAAATGAGTAGGTAGGTAGGTACTATATAATAATTATCAAACACAACATAAATATTTTTAATAATATAAATGTTTTACAGAGTTATTAAACATAATCCTAGTATTCTGACCTCTGCCATATTATGTATACAACTTTAATGAATGCCTCGTATCTAACATATCTTTTAAAGTAATAAAATTGAATAGTATAGTTTTTAATATCAAACTTTTAACGGGCCACAAGATAACAATTTACTTAAAAAAAAACTGATGTACTACGCATCATAAAAAATCTCTAAACTGTATGATCTTTTTTATTCGGCAATAAAATAATTGTTTATAGGTAATTAATTATAGATTTGAGTTTTAATTTTTTCTAGATGATTGATATAAACATATCAACAATCAGCATTTCCTTATTAAAAAAATATAAATCCTTTAATCTTTGGATACTTAAAAATGAACGAATTTAAAATTCTTTATTTATTACTTTACTACATATTTAGTAGATACAATGTTTCCAAATATACGCAAGAAATTACTAAAACGCGAAAATCCTAAATTGTTTTTCCACTAAATCATGTCCACAATTTGTAATCAAATATTTGGACGGTTTGTATAACACAATTTAATCGTCCACCGAATTTATTAGTGTGCGGTAAAACAAAGAATATGAAAACGTTTTATAATCATCGCAAAACATACACATATGTTATTTGTATAGTTTAAAAACGCATGACGATCCAAAGGTAACGCTTTACAAAAACGATACACAATATACATATTTGATATTATTAACTTATGACCCCTTTAATAGCATCGAAATGTTAATAGGGGAAAACAGTTCCTTACCAATTAGCATAATTGAACGCATATAAATGTTTCTACATATCATATTAAATATACTTATAAGTTACATCATAAAATAATGTACTTGAATACGTTTTCTACGAAAGAGGGCTCCCGATTCCAAAATGAATAACTATTAAAATGACCTGCGTTAAAACGATAACAAACCGTACGTCTGCAGCAGATGTGAATAATAATAAGTGGTATTATTATATTGTAGTAGCCGTAAAGAAGATCCCAAGTCGATCACGAAACAATAAAATTTAAATTTAATAGAAAAATTATCTTTGCCACCAACGTCACATTATTTCAGTATACGCGACAACTGTGATCGATGTACACACAATAGTTTTATGAGAAACACTTTCGAGGTCTGCACGTGTCGTTCAAACGGCGGCGCGATTGCTCACTAGCTGCACCTACTACAGTCCATACGCCGGCGCAGCACGTCGGCGGCGGTCCCCTATTATAACGAAATGTTTATAAAAAAAACTAAAACCGAGAAAAAGTGGTACAGCAGTATACATAATATATAATAATAATAATAATAATAATACCTATATAATTATGCATAATATGCTAAAATATAATATATTGTGCCGACGGGGGCCGCACCGTTTTGTTGTTAGGTTATTTGGTTTGGTGTGCATACGAACGGGGGGAGGGGGATTCCGACGAGCACAGTACGCAAATTTTGATCCGCAATAATTATTATTATAAACGATTTTTGGACAAACCTGTTTTTTGCGATAGTTGCGTGAACGCAGAACTGATTTCTATACTTCGAATTGACTTGATGTTGTCTGTAAAAAAATAATAAAAAATATACTATAGAACAATATATTATAATGGGTTAGGTAAATGCTAACTTACTACTATGAATACATGATACAAACTAAAAGGGAGTTTTTACCAACCAAACCATAAGATTTTTTAGATATTATTTTGTTTTTAAAAATTACCTATTATCTTTATTAACATTTTACGAACGTAATCATAAATAATTGACAAAATCTATCGCAGTAATTTTTTTAGCTAAATTCGACTCAATTTTATCCTTAATAAAATTCGTCTAAATCAAAATAATTAACGCTTTACAATTTTACAAAGTGCATAATAATAATGTAGAATACATACTAAGATTAGAATCTACACCGTAAGACAAAATATAACACTTTGTATAAAACCGGTATATACTTAGAGTAATAAGTAATAACAGTTGAACTATATAGTTAGTAGTCTTGCTAGTTGCTACAAATTTTAACCTGCGACCAGCGAATACCGTATAATATAAATATAAAAAACATAAAAACGTACTACTAAAGGTGTACCAGGTACGTAATGAGATAAATATTGGACGAGAAATATACACTATTATTGGGTATAATAATATATACTGCAGTAGGTACAGTTATCAGTTTTTGTTATAAATACCTACTAAAGAACCCATTAGGTCTAAAATATATATTGTTAAGCATCGTTTCTTCATTAGTAATAAATAATAATAGTAATAATAACAAGGTTTTAAATGAGGAAAAATAATTTATATACCGTCTGAATCGTTCACCGGGTAGCCCGAGGAATACTTCTTAGCCTGTCATATTATACTATTATACCAGCAATATTATCGTTTAATTGCTATAAAGAAGACTGATTGAACGTCAAACTCGACTTCCAGTCTGGGTGGAACACGGGCGTTCATTAATTATTATAACATTCTCTGTATAATTTATTTCATATGTACGTAAAATTAAAGGTCTAAATAAAAACAGGGAAATCGGCGATCGCTATTCAATTCCAATTTCATTCAAAATTATAGAATACGCAATATTTTGAAGCTGTTAGAAACTATTAAGCACAGTTAAAAAAAACGGCAAAAAGTATTATAAAACAATTTATTTATATACTTGGACATAAATCATACACAATCCACTAACCGAAAATGTCAAGTATGACAGTAAAAAATTATTCTCTGGGTTAAAATTTTTGAAAATAAATGTAAGATCAGATTAATAAGTAGTTGATTTATAAGTATACAATTATTAAAGATACATAGGTAAATTTTATTTTTTAAGCATTTGAAATAAATATAAATTTTTACAAAATTCGTCAAAATCACTAAAATTACACACTACAAGTATTTTATGATGAAAATTCAATAAAATCTTCAACTTTTATAGTTACGATTTAAAAATATAATACAATTTTCCTCATAATTATAAGTAATTACTAGAACTAAAAATTCCAAAAATTATACAATTAAAATTACTTTTTTAAAAACATTTAAAGAAGTTCAAATATGAATAAAATTATGCATTTTAATAATAAATAACGATGTTAATTATATTGTTATGATAAAAAAATTATTCGATTCGTGGAGACTTAAAGATTTTCTTATATTATAGATTATAGTATGTATTATAAATTTTACTATACACAATGACATTTTCAAAATTTGCTGATTTATTTTAAGATTGGTATTATGTATTTATATTGTACAATTAACCTTTTTAACTATTCTGCAGTTAGGTTGTATTGACCCAAAAGTTAATAACAAAATTATAATATGGTATAAATATATATTATTATGATAATCAAATAACGTAATATTAATATTAAAATAAATATTTTAATAGCTATATCAAAAAACACATCGTAAAATATACTTAGTGGAAATAGTGAAATACTCTAATAAACCGTCTCCGCTCAGAATAGTTTTTCATATATTATATTAGACACCATTGAATTTAAATTTAACACACCCATAACAGTGATCACTCGACACCTAATGTACCCAATTGTCTACCATTTTATTTATAATATATTTTTTTTTGTAAAATAATTCAAGATTTTATTTTTAGTATGATATAAAATAAAATTAATAAAAAATAAAATCGTGTTCATACTATATAAATAATTTAAATTATTTTAATTGGTATTGTGAATAATAGAATTATTTTTTTATTAATTAATTCATCTGAGTGTTACTGCTGGGTGACTTCTCACGTCTCCGTGTCTTTATAATTGTATAATATAATATTATATTATTAGTATAGTTTATTATTATTTTTCTTTTTTCGCACATATACTTATTGTAAATACCTTTACAGATTGTAGGTATATAATCAAATGAATGTTAAAACAAAATAATAATAATAATTCATTACTTGGTTTTTAAATATTAGTTTATTAATGAATAATGATAAAATATACATTTATAATTAAAAAATACGTAAGATAGTATAACTAATATTATATCATGATAGTTACGGTTATGTTTTATCTATAACTAGTGAATATTGATCCTAACTGCTATTCATTATATTATCACTAGGGCTTGGAAGTTGATGACCTTAAAAACAATAAAAAATTACCATAAAAATGGCAAAAAATGTCCTAAAAAAATTACAAATATTAGTTTTATATTAATAAAAATACATTTTTTTTTAAATATTTTACTCTATTTTACTATAAAATTCAAAATATGACATAAAAATGACAAAAATGTCCTTAAAATAGGAAAATTAAAAAATTAAAAATATTTGTTTTATAAATGTCTATGGTTTAAGTTATCGGCATAATGGTCAACAAAAAACGATAAGAAATGAACTAGTGTGAAATCAGTAAAAATAACTAAAAATGTGGGAAAATGACCTAAAAATCTCAAAAAATGACTTAAAAAGTAATAAACACCAAAAAAACAGATTTGTGGCTAGGAGAGCATTGTCTAAAAAGTTCCAAAAAAAATGCATCAACTTCCGAGCCCTAATTATCACTATCTAGGGCTATGAAACTGATGTACTAAAAAAATGTATAAAAATTCAAAGTTTAAGAAATTATGTTTAACTTATTTGTAAAATTGTATAAATAAACAAATAACAAATGTGTGTTAGGAATAATATTGAACAAATATAAAGATAAAACTAATTTTTCTAAATAATTTAAATAAATGCAAAATAAACATTATAAGTTTAAAATATCATGCAAATATTATCCAAATAATATATACAAAGGTAACAAATTTGCCAAAACCACCATTTCCAATGATTTCCTTTATTCCGCGTCTTTAAATATATTATGAAATTTTTTTTTTTAAACCGTTTTATGCGTTAATATACACTAACGTCTAAAATATGCAAAATTATTAAATTCACAACCGTGATTACGTTAGCAATCTACGGACAGCCAAAATGTTTATTGTGTTTTCACTCTAGATAACCATCATGTTAAATACAAATTCTAAATTAACTAAATGTAATTTCGCTACATTGTAAATAAAAATTTTAAATATTACTTACAAGGACAAGATTCTTCAAAAAAAGTTATATTATTTTCATAATCTATCAAATCTATTATATATAGTGAACACTAAATAATAATCATAATAACTAAAAATAATCAAAACTTTAACAATATTCATATTTTCTAATCAAAGAATTACATATATATAAAAATTACCTTTTTTAAAAAATATATATTTATAATTCATAGGCTTTTAATACATTTTTACACCAAATGAGATCACAAAATAAGTTTTATCATTATTTAATAAATTTATTATTTATTATTTAATACTTCTACCAAAAGCATAGTATTATTGTTTCTTTAAACAATTATTAAAAATTATAAATTATTATAGTTTTATAAGCTTAAAAGATACCGGCAAATACACGTATTTGTGTTGTATACTCTGAGAACACTTAAATGCGATTGGATTTAATACAAATTTAATTTAAGTATTATCTAAGAAAATGAATTAAATAATTTGATATCAACATTGTTATTTCTTTGTAGCAATTCTTATAAATATGAAATATTTCTTAAAAAGTAAAAAAAAAGATCCATAAAAAATTATAGCAACTAAAATAAATGCATTTAAAATAAAATTGTAATTTTTAACACGTAGCAATGAAGTATAAACAAACATTTATCGCTAGGTAGGTCATTGTGCCAATTTAGAGATTCGCTATCATTTATCATATTACATTTGAAAGTGATTATTATCACATAATAAATAATAGTATATAAATTATTAAATATCATTTTCAATTATATAAAAATGTGCAATTTAAAAAAAAATTCTTGAACTTAAAAACACTTAAAATATAGATTATTATAATAAAGTTAAAATTATAGAGATAGAATAATTTTTACTATTCGACAACTGAAACGTCTACAACGAAAGAAAAAACTAACCAATAACCGACAGTTATTTAAACCAGTGTTTCCCAACTTTGATGACACAGCAACCCACTATTACTACAGTAATTAAACTTTCTTCCAGAAGTTCCAAAAAAAAAAAAATTCTAGTTGTATTGTTTTAACTTATACTGTAATATATTTCAGTATAATTATATATGTTTATCTTAAAATAATATTATGTTTGAGTAAATAAATATTTATTTGTATTGTAAATGATTTTATACATATCTCACAACAGTCATAAAGACAAATCAAAATGTAACGATTGATTAACACGTATCAATAATTTATAAAAAAAATCAAACAACACTTAACTATTATACCTAGTATGTATAATAAAACATATTTTGATTAAAGTTCTATTTAAAAAAACAAATTCCTATGTATCAAGTATAATTAATTTTAATTCATTATTCACAAGTCATACATGACTTTAATTTTTAACTAAGGGCATTAATATGTTTAATTTTTTTTTTCAATTTGTCACTTTTAAATTATCTCCTAATCATTTGTCTGTAATAGTAGCAATAATTAAAATGCGTTGGAAAATTGTGTATACATCAAATAAATGTATACGTTTAAAAAATATTTCGTAAACATT